ATGATTGCATAAGAAAAAATACGTATTCCCATGCAGATAGGCATTTCTAACATTAGGATAGTTCTCTTGAAAGTATTTAAATGTCTAATTCTATTTGTATACTTTTTTTCAGATCAACACATTCATGCACTGAGATTAAACAAATGCATCTAGCTTCAGCTAGCAGAGATAGAGTTAACCCTACTTCACCCTGGGGGCATAAGCAGCACGTGGCAGCAGATCGGTTTACTAGCGAGTTGCGCTGCGTGCCAGGACACACCGGGAGAATCTCAGCCGCGGAGGTTTTACACTGAAACCGTGTGTGATTTCCTGTCTAGCCCTGTGCTAACTGCGGAACGTGTCCCAGAAGCGGCACGCAGCAAAGATAGAACCCAACCCTATCTTAACCCCTACTTCACACTGGAAGCCTCAGCGAAGCAGAACGGCAGTGGAACGTCACTGCTTCAAATAGAATCCACGGTAGTCTATGGAGGTGATTCAAACCAGTCGCAATGCAAACATTTTCAGGCGCGTCCCAGAAGCGGCACGCCATACCGCGAAAGATAGGACTGGGTTCTATTTATGCCACGAGTCGCTTCTGGAACACGTCAATTTACAGTTAACGTAGGGTTAGACAGGAAATCACACACAGTTTCAGTGTAAAACCCCAGGTATTTTTCAAAATGAAAGACTATTGCAGCGATGTGATTTTATAACTAAGTAGATTAAATCAGTACAAGTAACCTAACAGCTTATTTACTCCCTGCATCTTTCCGGAAGTGCACCATTTTTTATGGCTTTAATCCTGGCAGTGGAGAGGAACCACATGACATAATTTATGACATTAATCAGCGATATCAAACTTAATTTCCTTCTTTTTGGTTTAATGTTGGATGGCATAAACAGACCGTGACCTTTGAAGTCCTGAGGGATTTAGTGATCTCGCGAGTGAGGCAAACAAAGCATGGCGTGGCATGGCTTGCCGCTTCTGGGATGAAATATTCTGTGTTGCAGATGGTTTGAGTCAGTCCCACGAGGAAGTGACGTTCCGCTGCCGTTCCACGCCGCTGATGCTTACAATGGGTAAAAATAAACCGCAATGCAATGTCAGTTCAGCGCTAACGCTGTGCTGACCTTTAGCATTCAGTCACTTATCTGCATGGTTAATGTCAAAGAAATGGTAACAAGTGATGACAATGTTTGAATTACAATAAAACAGCAGCAAAATTCTGCAAAACTTGTAAGATGACAAAAATCCAAGAACAGATAGAAGACAATTGTAAAAATAATTTTTATTTTATTTTACTTTAAAGGTGATGTCTTGTGAAGATTTAAATGTTGCACTTCATTTACCCCAGGAGTCAGAAGGAGTGATGTCACACATTTTAAACACATCTGTCTAATTTCTTCTACTGTTGAGTCCAAGGAAAAGATTACAGTTGTAAATTTTCAAACAACCTCATTTTAGAGAAACAGAATTGTTCTAATTTGATTGATCAGTTTTTTTATAGGAATCTTTATTTATACTTTAGTTCACGTTATTTCCTCTGTAATAAACTGATACATCCTTCCACCCAATATCTTAAGTTGCTCACTGGTGTCTATCTCCAGAGGTCATCGGATGAGAGACGGGGACACCCTGGACAGGTATGCAGTCCATCACAGGGACACACAGATGTCCAGACACACACCCACACCTTGTGACAATTTGGAGTCTCTGGTTAACATATGTCATGCATGAAACCCACACATGCATGAGAACATGCTAACTCCAGGGGTGAGTCCAGGAAGTGGCCTGTAGTGGCACATGTCACCCTTGGAATCTGATTGGCTACCCCAGATGCCACCCTGCTGAGTTCCATTTACTTTACTTTAGTGTGTTATTAAGGGACCTGCCATTCTGGCATCCCCACAAGTTTTGCATCAAAACAACCGGCTCAACTGTGGGAGGCGTGCAATAACTTTTCTAAGCATTTGGATTTACCATGGCAAAATTATTTGCAAAAAGCATCCAAACATTTCTCATTTTGAGTGTGTTCATTACAAGTGTGTTCATGCTTTATAGGGCCAACATTTGTGTGGGCGCACGCCACTGTTTGAGCCGGAATGTATCCCCCTCAATTGTTGGCCCTGTAAAGATAGTCCTGGTCCACACTCTACTCCAATTAGTGGCAGCAATGCACCAAGAAGTCGTTTGCTAAGTTCCACAAAGCATCTCAAAGAAGATCGATAGAGGGTTAAAGCCTCCTTTATGCTTCTGCATTGGTGCAGGGACATGCAACGCCTTTATCCGTCCATGCAAGGGCTCTCCAGCAGCCTGGATGGACGGAGTTGATCCCACTTTTGTAAACATCCGTCAAACGAGATGGAGAACACAAGCTTGTGATTGGCCAGGACTCCGCTTTTGTCAGCAGCGCCGCCATGCCCCCTCAAAAACATAAAGAAAGACTAAGATTTCTAGTGGCAGACATGGAGCAGCTTGAAGAATCCCTCATGGAAAAGTTCTAAAAATATGAACGTTTTATTCCCCCATGATTAGACAAGTGTTTTATTTGTGGACGGAAATTAGAGGCGGCCAGCGGATGAAGACATGGAGAACAGTGAAGGACAAAATTGTCCATGGTTAAAAGTCTCTGAAATACAAAATAAATACAATAGTAAATGCACCATCTTGGACCGGATACATGACAGCATACCCCAAAACAGCACTACACCCTCCATTGTCCTGGGGGGATTGGTTTTCAACACTCCCCAGGAGACGGAGAAGTCAGAGATCAAAATGTCTCTGTCCGTGTGTGTCTTTCCCTTGTGCAGCTGAAGCATAAACTAGGCCTAAGACACCCAAAGAAGATATTGTCATGACACAAAGTGGAGCTCTCTAATGCTAAAGAATTCATTATTTTGTAAGTGATGGAACCCCCCACCCCCCCACCCCCTCAAAAAAATAAAAAATAAAGCATAACCATCTGTGCCAACCATGCATAAACAAGTGCCTCAAGCCCATTTTAAAAGGCCATTGCTAACTCCACACAGAAAGGCTTCAGCAAGGATTTGAGCCTGAGACCTAATCATACCAACACCACCACCATGCAGCCCTTTACAGATGTAAATTAGATGATTCCAATTAAAACAAGAAATTGTTTGTCTTTGGGTTTCTACTGTGTTTTTATGAATTCTGCATGTCCTGCAGCACATGCATACAATATTCAGCTCTGGTACATAAGACTGGAAACAGGATTTAAGTTCTTATGATGAAAACAGAAAAGGATCTTTTATATGGTGCCTCTCCAAATAAAAATGATGAAGTGCTTAAATGACACTGAAATGTTCTTTCAGACGTTTAGACTTTAGGCTGAAATAATCCATCATCACTCTGTAGCAAGTGAAGCAGGAGTATTTTTCGTCACCTTCATTCTAATCTGTCACAAATTTTCTAATCCACAGACAAAAATGGACTCCATGGGCCTCATGTGGTCAGACCTGCCTGTTTGGGGTTCGGTGTGCAGCTGCTCACCATCCAGTTGTCATCAGCTGGGTGGCAAACAAAGATGAGGTCACTATTATTTAGGATTAGCAGGAACAAAAGCTCTCTATTTGTCATTTTCATTCTTACCAGATGAATGTAACGTCCTCCATTTGAATCAAACTGCAAATGACAATCCAGTTAAAACCCAAAGAAAACCAAGGCAGAACCTGTTTCCTTCAGTTTGTAGTTTCTAAACAACGAAAGTGAAAAGGGGACAAGCAGAAGGTTCCCACGTTCGTGTGCAGCAGAGGAGACAGGACTCACAAAAGCAACCAAAGCTTTCATTTTATAATATTCATTTATTGTTCAATAAAAATAAATTTAAAAAAGTGACGTGATGTCTCCTTCATGACTTTGCTTAATGGGTTGGCCAACAGTTCCTTGTAAACATGGGGCTTTAGTTTCTCAACCGACTTAAACCCCTTTTCTCCCTGCATTCAGCCAGTAACTTCACTGAACTTTGACCTCTGTGATAGTGATAGCCCCTCCACCCATTTTCACATTAAGGACAGATACAGTACATTCATCCTCTTGTCTTTTCTGTCTATGTACACGTTTCACTCTGAGGCTGAGTGATTTGCTTTTGCAGATGGCCCTCGTAAAAACTCCTTTAAAAACAAAAAGAGGACATCTAGGCGCGAACACAAGCCATCGGTAAACCAATTACGACATCTTAAGACAACGTTATAAAGCAGTTACACCTAAAACACATCTGCACATGTGTAAGAAAAGTAGAAGTCTGTAAACGTGGAGTTGCACTGTTAGCTTCCCCTGCAACAGGTTCAACACTCTGCGTGCCTGGAATGCTACAGTAACTGAGGCAGGAAGTCCTCGCTCGCAGGCGGACCTCACTGGTGCTACATTTGACCTTTGACCTACAGTGTTGCTGAGCCGGGCTGGTACTTTAGAATCGGGAAATAAAGAAACATACAAAGAGAAATAATAAGAACATCAAGTTTGTTCTGTGAGGTGGAAATTCTGGGCTGGAATGCTTGTTTCTAAATTGTTTAGAAAATAATTTTTAAGTAACTAAAGCATGTTTACGTTTACAGCTCCTTCTCTACATCCATCATAAGAATTTTATTTAAGACTAAAACAAATAAAAACTCCAGTTTGTTTCCAGGATGTTTTACCTTTGAGATGATTATGATTCCTGCTTCAGAGATTTTAGTCCTTCTCATTCATTTGAACATCGCTCCAAGTCCAAGTCGCCACTATTGGACTTGTTTACTTTTGACTGCTCAGCTATTTAAAGCTTTTCCGAAAACCAATGTGTTCTTTTTATTGTCGTTTGAAGAGATTTTTTTATTTATTTATGATGCCGTGGACACGCGCATCTAGGAACTTTCTTTTTCCTACAATCAAACCTATCTGTGTATTTTATATATATATAATATACATATATATATATGTATATTATATATATATATATATATATATATATATATATATATATATATATATATATATATATATATATATAATATATATATATATATATTATATATATATAATAATATAATATTACCCTTATTGGGGCAGCAGTAGCTCAGGTGGTAGAGCGGGTTGCCTCATGATCGGAGGGTCATGGGTTCAATTCCAGCTCCCGCCAGGGGTATCCTGCTGTTGTGTCCCTGAGCAAGACACTTCACCCAACTTGCCTGTGTTAGTGGGGGTCAGAGGGGCAGACGGCGCCAAATGGCAGCCTCGCCTCTGTCAGACCTCCCCAGGGCGGCTGTGGCTACAAGTAGCTTACGATCACTAACAGTGTGTGAATGTGAGAGTGTGTGAAAGCGTCTTTGGGTGTCTAGAATAGCGCTATATAAGTTCAATGCATTATTATTATTATTATTATTATTAGCAGGGTTTGATTATTTGCTAAACTCATTCCTGAGGAGAGCTGGTAAATGTTGGGATGGCTGTGTGCTTGGTTTGGGACTGTTTCTGTTAGTTTGCATTAGGAAAAGTCCTGAATGAACCTCTTGGAATAAAACTGATCTGTAAAACATTAACATTTACGGATCCCGAAGAGGTCTGTAGATGCAGATTATTTTGCACAAAGACTGGATGGATATCCTTTTTTTGTGCAAAATTGATCAACTTCCTTTTTTAAGGATTTGCACACTGTGCCTGCAAGTTGCAACCTTTGGTTTAGTTTCTAGTTTTTCTTGTTTCTTATGTCAAAGCGGTTGTGGTAAAAACTGTCAGTTTATGCATGCAACTTCATGTAAAAACATTAGACCTCTTTTAAAAATATTTCTTTTTGACCAGAATCCGGATTTAAAAGCCTGTGCTAGCCCACAGAGATAAATCTTCAGATGCACGTGATTAATTCCACCAAACAACAAAACACTGAACCTTTAGCAAAGCATGACCACAATACTGCAAATGTACCCAAAACAACTGGAATATATACGTGCCTTTCCCATGAACCAGAGAAACAAGAAGTAGAAAGTCTTGCTTCTTATTTTGTTTTGTTCCAAAAACCTAAATGAGCTGGTTTGATTTTGCTTCTTCGCATAATGACAATGCTGTTTGTCAGCTACACTGTGTAACACACACAGAGCCTGTGGCTGCAAAAGAGCACCACACAGCAGCGCAAGCTAACTTATGGGCCAAATCACAAGTTAGACATGTCCTTAAATGGGGACACCACCCACCTTTTTACTACTCCCTTTCCTCTAGCCACCTGGGCCCAGGCCAGATCCCACATCCTTGGAACGTGGGGCCTGATTGCTGCTCTTGTGGAAGGAGAAGATGTGACAGCCCTGGATGAGCGTGTGGCCTGACTGGATAGCGGTGCAGCCCTTTGTCATTTTAAAAACCCAAAAGTACTGGCATCAATCACACCAGGAGTCAGAGACAGTTTGTATTAGCCTTTGCTCAGCTTCGTGATCTTATAGCCCAATGATTTCTGACAGCACAGAAAAAAAAACTCTCTTTGTTCCACATTGTAAGTGTTCATTTGGTGTCCATATGAGGAGCTGATGTTTATAAAAAAGCTTCTTATGCTTGGGAGAACACATTTCACAGAAACAGATTCTCAGAATGGTGTTTCAGATGAAAAAAACAGGATGTACGAGCTGCAGTGGAGGACGGAATCACCACAGAGACAAAGAAAACATTTATAAAAACCAGTCCGGACAGAAAAGTTTCCTTTGCCCCTCTGGTACCCGTGTGGGTCACACTGTGGTGGCCCGGCCATGTTTCAGTGCTAGTGGTGAATACTCTTTAATGCGAACGCACAGTTTGCCCCTCAGCCACGGGTTCTGAAGCTCCAGGGGACAGAAGTCGTCCTGCAGCCATTTCTCTCTGTTGTCCACAACCAGCACAAGGCCAAAGTGCTTCAACTGTTCAGGAGTGTAGTAGACACACTGCTCCTGTTCGTTGCTGCCGCCGCTGCTGCCCAGCAGGCGCCGAGACACGACGTTCATCTCTTGGACCACCAGCTGGACCATCTCACGCGCCGTTGTTCCAGGAGTCACACAAAGCTGGAACCCAGGAGAGAGGAGAAACATTTAGTTCCAATAAACCACTAGCCTGAGACTGGTGGAAGTGTGCGAGTACCTTAATGCTTGTCTCCTTCGGCAGGCCCGTGTGATACTGCGGATAGACGCGCAGCGTAGCGTGGCAGCTCTTCCTGAACACAGCTGGCGATGGCGTGTTGAGTCTCTGTGTCCCACTGTCTTCTGATAATGTACGTGCAGGTGGACGGTGTGGTAAGCAGCGCTCTCCAGGACAACAGCGGTCCACTGATGAGGGCCGGTGCCATCTTTTCTGCGGTGAGGCGGAGGGTGAGGAGTAGGTGGTGTGGTAGGAGTAAGGCTGATGGTGCCCCGCTGTGGTGGAGGGGAACTCTAGGCTGCTGGTTCTCACACAGAAGGCCTGTCTCTTCTCTGTGATGTGCAGCAGCTCGATTTGCCTGCTGGGCAGGATGAAGTCACTGTCGAACAACTCTGGGGCCCCCCGGCGCCTTTCTCCGCCACACCGGCCCCCCCCACCTCTTTCTCCTTCCCTGCCGAGCTGCTGCTCAGAGGCCTGGAGGACGTCTGGTGTGGAGTCTCGAAGAGCTCCTCCTCCACGTCCACCTCCACTGGGACACACGCCTCCCCCCGAGCCACTGCCGTCGCTTCGCAGGTAACCACGAGGCTCCAGAGGTGCAGAGGATGATAGAGGTGACGGGGGCAATAGGTCCAACTCACGGGGACTCTGAGCACGGCTCGAGTCATAGTCGCTGTCGGTGGTGAGGAAGACTTCAGACGAGCCTTCTTCGTCTGACAGACCAGGGCAATCTAAAGCATGAGGCAAAAGGAAACGTTTAAGGAAATGAACTTAATCTCAGCACCAGAACTAAACACACCTGAAGTTTTTCTGACCTGAATGTTTCCGGCAGGGTTCAGGTGAAGGCAAGGGGGAGGGCATGAAGTCTGGCTGGGAGGAAGTGGAGGGGGGCTTTTCTGGAATCAGCTCCTTAGAGAAGTCAATGATCCAGCTGATGGAGATTCCTCCTGTGGGCTGCTTGTAGCGAGCATACTGCAAAGTGTCCATGATCCACCTCGCGTCCCGCCATACCTCCTCCATCTGCTACAAAGTTAGACAAAACAACATCACTTATCAAAAATAAATGATTGTAGATCATTATTTCTGCTTATAATATTCTGGAAATTTATTAATCTGGTTTTAGGCCAGACTGCACGAAGGCAGCCCTGGTAAAAGTAATCAATGCTATCCTGCTGGCTAGACAGCAGCAGATATGGACTGTTAGTTATGTTAGATTGACACAGTGATCCTGATCTCTCGTTTTCAGCACTATGTGGGAATTTCTATACTGGCTATGGCTCATGACCATGTTTGCATTGAAACCCTAGCTTGTTCTGTAGGTTCACTATTACCATTTCATTTTTGGGGTAAAAACTGACCATGGGCTTAGCAACATTTGCTTTTAACACCTTAGACGATTGTCAAAGACAAAGCCGTTCCTGTTCATGCGTGACTTAGAAACAGTCTTTCACACTTTTATAATTTCACACGTGGATTATTGGAACTCCATCCTAATTGGGCTTGGTCAGAGAACTTTAATGTGCTTATAATCGGTACAAAATGCTGCAGGACAACTTAACTAGAAAGAAAAAGGGAAATTTTGATCACACCAGTCGGATGCTGACCTCTCTGCACTGGCTGCCAGTTTATTACAGGTTTTGTTTTAAGATTCTGCATTTAAATCCCTTAAAATGGGCTGGCCCAAGTGTAACGTCCCTCCATGCCTGCTTCGGTCTGAGGACTTGCTGCTGCTTGTGGGCCCCAGCTCTTGACTGAGGCAGAGATCGAGCTTTCTTATTCGTTGCCCTTGGGGGAACTTCCTCTGCCAATCACGCTGAAAACTTATTTTTATTTGTTGGTTTGTGATTCCATGTGAGGCTGACACTGTCGAAGCTTGTATTTGTTTTCTATATATTTATAGCTTTAATTGATTGCACCATATTGTTTTCTGACTGTACAGCACTTTGGCTGGCCTTGTGCTGATTTTAACGCGATATATGAATAAAGGGTGTTATGCACTGGCTGGATCCATACCTGCACGTGCTCTTGGACTTGTTGGTGCTTCTTCTTAGCAGCGTGGAGCTCGGACTCAGAGAAGGCTTCTCGTAGTGCCTGCTGTGACATGAGGGACTCCAGCTCCAGCAGAGCCGAAACTCTACAGTACTGGCCAATGAAACTGGGGCAGTACGCATTAAAGTGAACTGTAAAAGAAGCACAGAGACCTTTATAGAAACAGCAACACAAAAATGAGAGTGACTCTAACGCTGGCTGAAGTTTGACACACTGACCCAGTTCAAAGAACTGCAGGGGCAGGGTGAGGAAGCCGGAGCGAGGCGAGTAGGGATTATTCTGACCAGGAGCTGTACACACTTCATCTGAAGGTGGCAAGAGGAGCAGGAAGGACACTTTCCCCCCAAACTCTAACACCTCTTGGCTGTAGATACGAAAGTCCTGCACCTGGATACACACATAGACAATCCTCAGCGAGAAAAAAACATCTTAATTGGAAAAACTCTGTCAGAAGTGTTTTTACTGTAGTATATTTTACTGATCTCTTTTCCTGTAATCTAATTTGCTGTGACGTGTCCCATAGGGGTTTATTTTGTAATTCTACCCATTTATTCCCTCTTATTAATTAAAATTCCTCCATGGTTTTGTTTCTACAAAAATGATTGTATTTAATCATTAATGTGCTATTTTTAAACAGTATTATGTATGCATCATGTATTTCCCCCCCCCCCCCACTTTTTCTCAGTTAGAGATCACATATTTGGGTGTCTGAAGTCACCATCTCAAAAAATAAACCTGTTACTCTTTTGGAGCACTTTTCCCGGAAAATTTCTCAATGAGCGAGCAGTTCAGGTTAGAAGTGGAAAGTTACGTCACTTCTCCAGCTTGGAGTAGAATTACTTAACCTCCTCGTCTTTATCTCCTCCCATCTTCTACTTCAGATCACGCTGCCTTCACTGTGCTTATAAATGTGGGAAATCAAACCGTTGGCTTTTTAACTTTTAAAGTTTTTATGCAAAATTGACTTGGAATACAGAATGAGGTGAGCTAGGGTAACAGGGTTGAAAAGTATTCAGTCACAACGATGAGGTGAAAAAAATTATTTAATTGAACATAGGACTTAGCTGCACTCTGAGTAAATCAAAGGCAGAAAAGAAACAGGGCATGTGATTTCTTAAAGAGACAATGTTATTACCATCAATCTCTGGAAAAATCCATCAAAATGCTGTTGAAAATGAATTAGATGATGCCCTGTTGTTGAAAAATTTACGGCTTCAGAACATATACCCATAAGCACTGGGTCTAAAACAAATGAGAGTGGGTCTAAGGGTGATTCTCAATGCAAAGGAACCTTGCCTTGATGTCTTGGCCCTGCCCCGGTTGCCTAGGAGATACGTCATCAGGAGCCACAAAGACGTGTTCCAATGTTCATGTTCTACCGAGGCGTGCGTTCTCCTTTTGTTAGCCGTTTAGCTAGCTGAGCAAGAATGCACGGGAGGTGTCTTGTAGCCTAGCCTTGGTCAAAAATTTTCCAGAACACACCGCAGTATTTTCAAAAGGATGGCGGATCAGAAGCCAGCAGCTACTTCGGGAACAATTTTCAAGTTTAAAAGTAAGACAACTACCGTAAATCCTCTAATACAGGCCCGGGCCTGTATTTGACTCAAGTTCATCAAGCTCCAGGCCTTTATTGGAAGGAGGACCAGAATTAGAGGCAGGCCTCAATTTCTATTTGAGCAAAATGAACTAATGGTTATCTGGAGTGTTTTTTTTTTTTTTTTTTTTTTTTTTTTTTTACCGTGTCCTGTCTGGCTGTGAAGCAAGCAGAATTGATGTCTGGTTCGCTGGAGTTTTTGACAATTAAAATTGCACCCACATTTTCAAAGTTAAACACATTTCTTTTAACAATGGTAGTTTCTGCTTCAGCCCTCTCCCCCTCCCCCTGCGCAGCGGCCGCAAACTCACTGATGCGCCTGCAGCCTCTCGGAGTTCCTGCTGCTCTAAACATTAAAATAATTATTTCATTTTCTGTTCCTCACTTCTGATTACCTTCAATGGTGTCTGTTTGTTGCAACCACCAGATACAAAAACTAACTTGTTTTTATTTGACTATTTTTCTGTCCTGTCTGTTTATTATCTTCCTGCATCTCCTCTCAATCCTAAAGAAAAACTGCTACCTGGCTTCATATATATTCACCTTATGAGTTACCTTTGAACTGCAGTTCTAAAAGATCTACCGACCGCAAAAACAGCGGAGTGCTCGCTGCTTGGCGGTCGCATCAGTGATCGGTGCGTCACCAGAGGACAAGGTGATGCGCCCCGCTCCACAGCGAAACGCATCAGGCGCAAATAAAAGACAGAAAACAAAAAACATAAAAGGAAATGAGCCGATATGAACGATCGCATGTTAAATTAGTTTTTGAGGTGGCGGCACCTGATTTGATAATGTTACTGTGGCCGTGCTCAGGACGCAGATGTCTGGAGTGCGTCAACAATCAGAGCTTTGCATGCACAAGCTGGTTAAGGTTAGGATGGGGGTGAGGGGAATGTTAAATTGCAAGAGGGTAAACTTCACAAATTGGTTAAATGTCCGTTTTACAGCGGGTGTCAGTGCCGACGCTCTGGCACAGCGCGTTGCCTCCCGACGCACAGGAGCTTGTCACCTGCTGACAGCAGGCTGCTATCTTTTCCGTGGACTGCATCTTGCCGGTCATTATCACGTGACAGCGACTAGTCGATGACAGGCATAAAAAGTCACTATAGAGCGGTGAAGTCGACTAGTGACTAGTTCATACAACCCCTGCTACTGCTCCCCAGAGTGTTCTGCAGCATAATCAGCACGTTCTCTTTGAACTTGATATCAAATTTTCGCCTCCTCTTTGTCTCTGCATGGTTAGTTACCCTCGCGGTCTATCACTGGCAAATCAAAAGTGAGACGAATATGACACAACCGCCCCCCGTACTTGCTTGATACCACATTCCACCCGGCCACAATAAAAAACCGGCCATTATTCACCTCCGCCAACTCCGACACCGGCCAAAATATGATACCCAGCAGTTAATTAAATACAGGCTAATATTAGAGGATTTACGGTAATTTAAAATGTTTTTTTAGATCAAAGAAGTTATCTATGGTTGGTTAGCTGCTTAGTAGTTGCAGCTTCGGTGGCTAGTGGGTAGTAACTCACTTATATATTTAATTTAAAAAATATATACACAATTTAAAAAGTAAAAGTCTCATTATATATTTATATTGGAACGTATACGTATAAAATATAACGTTGTCTCCCATGTCATGTGACCGCCGTGGAAGCTATGGTCACGTGATGCAAATTTGTTCCATTTAACCGCTTTCTTTGACCAAGGAAGGACAGTGTCCTTGTAATTAAGGCACCTGGCCTCGCAAGACATCGTCTCGCAAGGCCATGCGCCTTGACATTGAGAAACACCCACAGTCTCTGGGTGACGCCATGTTTCCTTCTACAGGAGCCCATGAGAACAAAATGCATTTACAAATTTGTAACAAGCTGTTACAAATCTTTCACCATCATAAACGTTGTTGTTTTACACATTTATCTCTTTTCTCATTGCCAGTGATGAGAGTCTCTTGTGCTTGTTATTTTGCTGGAGGTTGAACGATCTGACGAAGAACACGTTCAAGTTTTTGACTCTAATGGCTATCCGTTGGTAAGAAATTACTTGAACACAAAAATACCGCTTCTTTGCAATGATTTATGTATGTACCACTGCCTATAGCCAGAAAAAATACACACCATCACTTTAAAGAAACATAAGACACCCACTGAGGTAAACACACAAATTAATGGGTCCAAATAATGAAAGCAACACAACAAACCAAGATCTGATGTCTAATAAAGATAAATTCAGCATGTTAAAAAGGAGAAACTAATGAAAAGTTACTAATCAGAAATGGTAAAAAGACAGGCATTGAGGGTCTGGCAGGAAGAGGAATCAAAGATATTGTGATTGTAATTTAGATGTTTGATTGTTGATTTTGTTTACGATATAAATGTAGACATGTTTATTGGCATTTTTGAAAAGGAGGGATAAGATACTGAGGCATGGAAAAGCTTTGAGCTTCTCACTATTCCACTTTAGGGACCAGAGGACTTGTTAAAGAGCAAGTCAACCCCTACCAGAGTCTAACTCCACTCCCACTTCATGTTTGAAAAATGCAACACATACTGTTGCCTGGCAGACCGAGAGGGCGGAGCCGCTAACAAACACACACTCAGGCTCACGCTGGCATTGTGACATCATAATGTACCAGTTTACATCATAGCATACTTCTTAGCCAATAGCGGTGGCAGATTTAAATTAAAATACAGTGCAGAGTTTTTACCTGACAACGGCACAACACTGCCAGTTTTAGGCAGAATATTTAAATTTTAACTAAGATGCACTGAAGTGCCAAATTATTGACGACATGTGTCTGCAGCACGATTAGACACTTGTTTATTTAGTTAATCAGCAAAAAAAGTTTATTTGGGGGTGACTTGCTCTTTAAATTCTCTAAATTTGTTATTTTCATTTTGTATCTGATTTTAGATTGTTCAAATGATCTAAAGTGAATAAATAAATAAATAAATAAATAAATACCTGAAAATAATTGATTTAACTCACAAATAACATTAATGTTGGTACACTAACTTCACATTAACCCTAACCACTAGCCCTGACTAACTTCACTTAAAACATCTGCAGTTGCTTCTAATAGGAATGAATGCTGTTTAAGTTGTTCTCTGGGGAAAAAAAGCTCCGATGCACGCGTTTGAGGATGTAGAAGTCAGCTGGAGGGGAAAGTGGCAGCAGATGGCTGGATTTGGCATCTTATTTCCTCATAATTTAGACATCTTGCCTCAGACTGGCTAACAGCAACACAACTCTAACACTGGCTCAGTACGCTCTGCAACAAGGATGTCTTATCTCCACCAAAAACACAAGCCTGAAGGAGTTCTGCGATGTGGTGGAGTTGCTAATGATGACATTTAGCTTCTATTAGTCAAGATGTTCTCTGCTGTTTCCTGGTCCCACAACAGCCTTCCCTGTCGTTAGTCAAGATGGATGAGTCCATGAATGTTAGGTGACAGCGTGAGGTAGATCTGTCAGGCTTTTCTGAACCAAGTGTTTTTCCATCTGAACCTATTCAGGAAATAGGGGTAGCAGATTATTCTCATGTTCATCCTGCATGCTAAACTCAGAGTGGCTGATCATTTACAAAAACAAGAAGTAAAAAAATGGTTTCTCAGTTTTTCCACGTGACTTCAGTTTGAATTTTCTAATGTTTTCTGTTTAACTCACCTGATTTCCTGGGACGTTGATGTGAGCCATCAGGTCCTTGATGGCACCACGCAGGTCATGTAGAAGGCGATGGGGAGCGCTCTGGACATCGCTGTCCATTTCTAACGACTCCTCCAGGGAGGTGAGCGCCTGCAGCCACTGCCACTCCTCTCTAAAACATTGAGAAATTGTTTATTAGTCTTTTCTGCTCAGTTCAGATGTCTGGTCACTGATGTTTGACTCAATGCACATTAGGAAACACTTGATTCCCACCTGGAGACGTTACTGTTATTCCGGATTTTGGTGTGACAGAGAACATTGGGGAGTTTCTGCGGTACCAGCACCCGTATCTGCTCCACCGATGTACACAGCTTAAGGTAGCCCAGGTATAAACCTGGAGACAAGAGCTTCCTGCTCCTCCTGTGATAGGCCAGCTTCTCCTGTTGGAGTACAGAGATATGTGAGCTACAGAGTGTGTAGTATTTGCATTCTGAACACACTATTGTCCACATGTTTTGTGGTAAAATCTGTCCTTTCAGTCTGAAGATGATCTGACACATTCAAAGTGAAAGTCAGCACTGGAAATAGCCCGTCAGCACATTTTTACATGTTTCATCATATAATTTGTTCCAAAGTCACCACAAAACAAATATTTTTGTGAACTGTGGTTTTGCCAAAAGAATCTCCACCATTGTTCGAGAACAACAAGGCCAAACCGACGCACACTGGAGACAAAAACAGCGTTGCAGCAATGCTATCAGGTTCACTCGGCTGCAGATAAAAATCAACGTGTGGTTTAGCTCCACATTCTCGCTTTTGTGAACAAACAGCTGCAGAACATCACTTCTATAACAATAAATAATAACAGTCATATAATCATGATACACATAACGGTCACGATGGTAAAATCCAATTGTTCAGACCCGTAATCCCCAAATAAAGTGCTTTTAAAGAGAAATGCTCTTCAACATCGGACCTGACGTTTGTCTTTGTTACAGATTTTGGTGAAAGCTCTGTTCAGTAGGGGTCCTCACAACAGAGGAGTAAAGTCATATGATTAATGCTTGTCTAAATAAAGAGAGCTCAAGCAGCACCTCTAATTGGAAACACATTTTAGTTTACAGTTCCATTGTTACAGCCACGGTGCCTCTAGTTTGTTATGTCATGTTGGATTCCCTGTGAATGAGAGTTTTCAAAACATAACAGAAATCTGACTGAACAAATGTTTAGGGGCCACATCTTCACTCCATCCTTTAATCTTGCTAGATTTCTGTGCTGCAACAAAAAAGTGGACAGAATACTTGAACCACTGAGAATAACCTGAAGCACATCTTCCACCTGAGTCAAGCAGAAGCAGAAATGGAACATTTATCCAATTCAAACCTAAGAGTTCCTGCAGGACTCACGTGGAGTGTGATGAGGAGCATGTCCAAGGCGGTGGGCTCCTCGGGGGATGAGACAGATTTGCGTTGGAGCTGCAGTTTGCAAAGCTGTGTCCAGCGCACGCTGTCCAGGTTGGGACAAGTGCTCATGTCCTTCAAGAGCACGAGCAGGGCGTTACCGTGCTTGTCTTTGATCGGCTCAAAATAAACGTGGCCAAGGTCCTGGGTTCCCAGCATTCCCTGGTTCAGAGTCAACAGGAAATACATTCAGACTAACAATCCCAAGTGTTTATTCTTCTTGTGTAAAGCTTTAGACTACCTGAAGCTGGGAAACAGCCTGCAGCATCTTGAGGCGAGTCTGTAGAGTGCATGAACAGGATGACTGCGACGGACTCAGACACTGCTGAAGCCACGAAATCTCATCCCAAAGGAAGGAAACCTGTTTTAGGGGGAAAAAATGACTACGTCTGTTCTCACATCGTCTGGAACCATGGGATCTTTGTGGTGAGTTGAGTCATTTGCTGAAGAAAACTAACGAATCACAAATGTTTTTCTTTATTTTGATGCATTTCTTTCTACCTTAGTAAACCAGAGAAAGTCCTGCATTAGGGTGCTGGAGTAGGAATCCTCAACCTCCACAATAGGAATCTGGTCTTCTGGAGTCACCAACACGTTGTCGTCTCTGTAGAATATGGATGTCAGATACAGACCTCTGGAGAGAAACAGGAAGAAGAGTTGGCTAAAATGTTTAATCACTGATTAGAAACATGTTAGCAGTAGCGTAGGACATAGTTAGAAATTAGATAATTGGACACAGAAACTAGATATCTCTTTCTAGGGTGGTGAATGTTTAATTTCACACGTTCTGCTCTTTTACAGCCAGCAGGTTTCTTATCATTGCTTTTCTTCACTGACAAGCAAAGAAACGTTTATCTGCTGCAAAAAAAAAAAAAAATCACCACCACAGTTGGTTTTAGATGTATGTTTAGTGACATGGCTGGTCTTCCTGTAGTCAGTGAGGGAACTGATAACATCACTATCTCACTGCCCAGACACTGATGGACTAGAAGAACCAACATAGGAAAAATCTGCTAAATCTCCACTGGTATATTACATAGGGCTGGGGCCAATGGGATTACAAACACATTTTTGAATTCATATGTAATTTGTGTTGAATTACTCAAATAAAAGAACATTTTATTCTAGTTTTTGTGAGTTTTATCTGTATTTTAAAATTAAAGCAACACAAACACAGCTCCATGCAACTCACACACGCAGCCTGAGAACCCTTGAAAAAAGAGATATTGTGAATGCAGCTCATAGCCATCAACAGGGACAGTGCTTTTACACGACACACAAAAACAGCAAAAAACATATTCATGTGAGTGGATTCAGGGGGACTGATTGTAGTTAAGTTTCTTGAAAGGGTTTTCTTTTTCACAGTAAAATAATTCATGGTTTTGAATAAAAGACAAAAGGGAAACTTCACCCTACAAACCCTGATAGAGAAAACGCATGTAGAAAAAATAATTTCCTAATTCAAAGAGTTAAAACCTTTGAAAATACCACATGGACATGAGTTTCTTACCTCTTCAAGCTTTTGACAAATTTGCTGTTAGGTTGGAAGAGATGACGAAGGCTTTTGGACACCGAGTGCTTCCTGCCTTGTGTTGGGGCTTTACACTGTTCTGTGTGATGAGAGAGAGGACTGACTTCATTCAAACAAACCAAGTTCAGTCACTTCAATAACTGATTAACACCTTTAACTCTCAATTAAAGTTCTTAGGGCCCTCATATCTTACTCAGCTCCGATGTCCACTTTCCCTGCTAAACGAATAAGACACGTCTGTCCCGAGCAGCTTCAGAAACATCACCTCCAGTGACAACAAACTCGACAGGTCCAACAACGCGCCTGAATGTTTTTTGACAGTTCATGCTGTCCAGTGGCGCAGCACAATTTGACAGTCATGCTGGCTGCCAACAGCAGACTATTGGTCTTGGGGGAACCACTAGCTCACGGGTCTCAAGGGATCACTAAATGTGTGTACATGCATGTGAGTGTGTGTGTTTACCTGCACACACTAAAGCTGCTGGAGCATGGCATGCCCTGAGCTACGGCCTTTTGCATGGAGCCAAGAAACTTCAGTAATTCATGTGTGCACGTCTGTGTGCGTCTTAACCCTTTGCCACTCACTGACAGGGAGGTCAGTTAGGTCTGTGGGGACATGTTTATTTTTAGAGAGCCATGAGAGGGTTCCAGGCGAGAGAGGGAGGTGTTTATATGTGTATGTGCGTGTTTGTGTGGGTTCTCGCTGGTGAGATAACGCACCTCCCAACTCATTAGGAACACTGAGTCCCAAATCCCGTCAGACTCCCTCTCGTCCCAGGTGATCTGTCTCCAGCCCCAGGCCACTTAAAGTCAATAAATCCCTTCATTGAGAGCTAAAAAGAGCTATTTTTCTGCCTTCAGGTGGACAAGTAGAGTTGAAGCAGCAGTGAAAAATATAACAGCATCTCTCGGGCCCTCTCTCCTCCCCAAATGTCTCTCCACTCGTGAGTCTGTTCAGCTCCAGTCCTGGCCTCTTTCTCTGTGTGACACTGAGTAAGATGGACAAGTAGGACTGACTGCTGGGGAGCCTGTGTTAGTCAAGGCCTCTTTCACAGTTTAATTAATAGTGTTTGGACAAGAGGGAGAAGGTGGTGTGGGCTGTAAGCTGTGATGGGGGTGTGTATACAGACTGGAGAGAGTTAGGGGGAAAAAAGCTCATGTGCTTGAATATTTTTGTCAATTCACCTACGTGTGCTTGTGTGTGTGTGTAGGGACAGAGGACAAGACGACTACTGCGCTGCAGGGGGGAGAGGAGGGGGTGTTAGCAGTAGTCAGTGTTAATTTATGCTCTTCTCAGACTCCAGCCCATGACTTGTCTGTTACAGGAATAACAAACATGACCCCGGGATACGCCACCTCGGCTACCGTGCCTGAACTCTCAAGCTCAATCAGTTGCCGTCTGAAAAACCAAGAGCCACTCAATACTGACTATTATATAGCACCTCGCCCTGCTGAAAATACGGTTTAGCCACAGTGGACAATAGTAAGTGGGTGAGTGTGTTTGGGCTTGAGGGTGAGAGAGACAGACAGAGAGAGAGAGAGGCTCAATGCTAAATGCAGTTGGCCGTCCTATGAAGGAGTCTGTGTGGACAGGTTTTGACACTTATGGGAGCTGCTTACAGCAGGCAGTGTTCAGGGGTATAAACAGCTCGAGTGTGAGGGGTGTTGATCTGCATTTTGTCACAGAGCGAGAGAGAGAGGTATTTAGCAAGAAGGGCTGAGTCATGGAAAGACTCACACGGGGAGCGAGAGGCTGCTGAGACAAGAAGGGTGGTGGCATGTCATCTTAGTATGGTCGGCCCCTGAAAGTACTTGTCATGCCTCAGATTGTAAAGTGTCCGTCAAGGTGAAACGAAACACAGCAATTAGGGAAACTTGTTGCACCTGTGGACTAGGTTCCAGCATTTACATACTCCCAAGAGTTTTTCTTCAACACTCCTCCTAAAGCAGTGGAGATGGGGATTAACCAGGTAGTTTGTTTGTGTGGTAAGTTGACTGATAGCATAAACGTCCAGCTCCAGAAGTTTAACAGGTTTAAACTGCATTTAGACTCAATTCTGTACATACTCGTTATAGTTCAGTGTTAAAACACATCAGTCAGAAATGAGTGTTACCATGACAGACACAGTTGCGATGTGCTTCTTTTATTTGTCCAAGCAGCTGGTCAAGCGCCTCCTTCTGGCCCCTCTGGCGTGGAACTTGGCTGTCGACATCTCTCCAACCTGAAGGATAAAAGTAAGGGAATGTAAAACAATTCTTAAAGTGACAATGTGTAGGTTTTACTGTTAGTATCTGGAAAATTCCGTCAAAATATTGTAAATGAGTTAAAAGATGCCACTGAAAAATATTGGCAATTTCATAACATATACCTATAAAAATCTGTTCTAAAATACATGGGACTGGGTCTAAGTCTCTGGGGGACGCCATATTGGATACCACGTTTCCTTCTACAGAAGCTTGTGAGGACAAAATGCATTTACTGATTTGTAACAAAATTATTACAAAACGTTGACCATTAATAAATGTTGTTTTACACATTTACCTCTTCGCTCATTGCCAGTGATGAAAGGGAATCTGTTGTTCTTGTAATTTTGCTGGAGGTTGTGCTCCCAGGGATTTTTGACCCTAATGGCCATTCGTTGGTAAGTTCCTACTTGAACACAAAAGCAATGCTTGCTTGTAGTCATTTAGGTAAGTACTGCCCCCTATCACCAGGGAATTTACACACTGTCACTATAAGGATTCATAACTCAGAGATGTACAATATTATCAGCCCACATTGGCATTAAAATTTAATATTAAAAAGACAAATTCTACATACCATGCCCAAATAATACATCAAACTCCACGTACTTCGCCCCTTCAAAATGTTGAGGTTTAGTTTTTTAGATGTTTTTTGTTTCGTTGGCATAAGTAGACATTTCTTTGTGTAGTAGGTGTTTGTCAGGATTATATCAGGGAGAATGGGATTCAGCTGCTGTTGGTGACAAAAATAAATCTAACACCTTTGTCCATTGTTTAATTTAAATTTAAGTAGATGCCATATTTTGAAGAGCAAACGTGTGAAGCTTAAATAAGCAATATAGAGTGTTTTGTTTTCCAAGAATTATGTATGATGATTTAGAAATCTATAACAGACCCTTTACTGTGATATAATGTAGACAATATGACATCTTTTTAGCTAAGCCTGACCCATAGGGCCCCATGCAATTTGAATTGAATGCTGCTTAGCATTAGCCAATTGCGTCAGATATCCACTTACATACATATGTCAAATACAGAGCGTGCACATGTGTTAGCGTAAGTACCTGATGCAGTCTGTGACTTATATATACATATATATATATATATATATATATATATATATATATATATATATATATATATATATATACATATATATATATATATATAAATATATATATATATATATATATATATATATATATATATATATATATATATGAATAAGCAGCAGGATATGAGAATAATAATTGTAAAAAAGTGTTTTAGCTCTGTTGGTCCGCTAGAGGTGTGCATTCAAGTTCAAGAAGGAGAAGCATGCTTGTTTATCGTCGTCGTCCTCGTCTTCCTCCGCTTATCCGGGTCTGGGTCGCGGGGGCAGCATCCCAACTAGGGAGCTCCAAACTGTCCTCTCCCCGGCCTTCTCCACCAGCTCCTCCAGCAGGACCCCAAGGCGTTCCCGGATCAGATTGGAGATGTAACCTCTCCAGCGTGTCCTGGGTCGACCCGGGGGCCTCCTGCCGGCCGGACATGCCCGAAACACCTCCCCAGGGAGGCGTCCAGGAGGCCCAAACCACCTCAGCTGACTCCTTTCGATCCGAAGGAGCAGCCGTTCTACTCCAAGTACCTCCCAAATGTTCGAGCTCCTCACCCTATCTCTAAGGCTGAGCCCGGCCACCCTACGGAGGAAACTCATTTCGCCCGCTTGTATTCGCGATCTCATTCTTTCGGTCATTACCCAAAGCTCATGACCATAGGTGAGGATTGGGACGTAGATCGACCAGTAAATCGAGAGCCTGGCTTTCTGGCTCAGCTCCCTCTTCACCACGACAGATCAGCTCAGCGTCCGCATCACTGCAGACGCCGAACCAATCCGCCTGTCGATCTCCCGATCCCTCCTACCCTCACTCGTGAACAAGACCCCGATATACTAAAACTCCTCCACTTGAGGTAAGACCTCTCTCCTGACAAGAAGTTGGCAAGCCACCCTTTCCCGGTTGAGAACCATGGTCTCAGATTTGGAGGTGCTGATCCTCATCCCAGCCGCCGCGAACCTACCCAGCAAGAGCTGAAGGTCAGAGCTGGATGAAGCTAGGAGGACCACATCATCCGCAAAAAGCAGAGACGAGATTCTCCTACCAACAAACTCGACACACTCCACACCACGGCTGCGCCTAGAAATTCTGTCCACAAAGGTTATGAACAGAACCAGTGACAAAGGGCAGCCCTGGCGGAGTCCAAACCTCACCAGGTACAGGTCTGACTTACTACCGGCTATGCAGACCAAACTCACGCTCCTCTGGTAAAGGGACTGAATGGCCCTTAACAAAAGGCCACCCAAACCATACACCTGGAGCGTCCCCCACAGGGTGCCCCTGGGGACACAGTCATAAGCCTTCTCCAAATCCACAAAACACATGTGGATTGGTTGGGCAAACCCCCATGCCCCCTCCATCACCATTTCAAGGGTATAGAGCTGGTCTACAGTTCCACGGCCAGGACGAAAATGACATTGCTCCTCCTCAATCTGAGATTCAACTATCGATTGGACCCTCCTCTCCAGTACCTTGGAGTAGACCTTTCCAGGGAGGCTGAGGAGTATGATCCCCCTATAGTTGGAACACACCCTCTGGTCACCCTTCTTAAAGATGGGGACCACCACCCCGGTCTGCCACTCCACAGGAACTGCCCCCGATGACCACGCAATGTTGCAGAGATGTGTCAACCACGACAGCCCTATCACATCCATAGCCTTGAGATACCCAGAATGAATCACATCCACCCCCAGGGCTCTGCCGCTGTGTAGTTGTTTGACTACCTCAGCAACTTCTGCCCCAGAGATTGGACAGTCCATCCCCAGGTCTCCCAGCTCTGGCTCCTCCTTGGAATGCGCGTAGGTGGGATTAAGGAGCTCATCAAAGTATTCCTTCCACCGCCCAACTATAGCCCCAGTTGACGTCAGCAGCTCCCCATCCCCACTGTAAACAGTGTGAGCGAGTTGCTGCCTCCCTCTCCTGAGGCGCCGGACAGTTTGCCAGAACCTCTTTGGCGCCGATCGATAGTTTTTCTCCATGGCCTCACCAAACTCCTCCCACGCCCGAGATTTTGCCTCGGAAACTGCCACTGCTGCACCCCGCTTGGCTATTCAGTACCTGTCTGCTGCCTCCGGAGACCCACAGACCAGCCATGCCCGGTAGGCCTCCTTCTTCAGCCTGATGGCTCCCCAAATCTCTGGTGTCCACCAGCGGGTACGGGGGTTGCCACCACAACTGGCACTGGCCACCTTGCGACCACAGCTAGTAACAGCCACCTCAACAATTGCAGAGTGGAAGAAGGCCCACTCGGAGTTGATGTACTCCACTGCTCTCGGGATGCCGTCAAAGCTCTGCCGGAGGTGGGAGTTGAATACCGTCTTGACAGGTTCTTCTGCCAGGCGTTCCCAGCAGACCCTCACTATGTGTTTGGGTCTGCCAGGTCCACGTGGCATCTTCCCCTGCCATCTGATCCAAATTACCACCAGGTGATGATCAGTTGACAGCTCCGCTCCTCTCTTTACTCAACCCTCCAGGTCATGCTGTCATTGCCAATGTGAGCATTGAAGTCCCCCAGCAGGACATTGGAGTCCCCTGATGGAGCACTATCTAGCACTCGTCCCAGGGACTCCAAAAAGGGTGGGTAATCTGAATTGATATTTGGCGCATAAGCACAAACTACAGTCAGAACCTGTTCCCCGACCCGAAGTCGCAGGGAAGCTACCCTCTCGTCCCCCGGGAAAAACCCCAACACACAGGCAGAGAATCTTGTGGCTAACAAAAAGCCAACCCCAGCCCTCAGCCTCTCACCTGGAGCAACTCCAGCAAAGGCGAGTGTCCAACCCCTCTCAAGGACTTGTGTTCCACAGCCAATGCAATGTGTCGAGGTGAGTCCGACTATATCTAGCCGGTACTGCTCAACCTCTGCCTCAAGCTCCTGCTACTTCCCCGCCAGCGAGGTGACGTTCCATGTCCCAATAACCAGTTACCTTGTCCGGGGATCGGACCACCAAGGCTCCCGCCTCGGTCTGCCACCCGATCCACACTGCACCGGACCCTTCATGTTCCTCCTGCGGGTAGTGGGTCCACAGTTGGATGAGCCCATGTATCTGGTGATTGATTATGTTAATGTATTTATTCTGCATTTTATTCCATTTTACTGTGAAGCACCTTGTGATTTTTATCTGTGAAAGGTGCTATAGAAATAAAGGTAATTTACTTACTTAGAAACATTGCTTACAGCCATAATAATGGAAGTAGGAGGAGGGGCTTACGGTGCAATACATTTTTTTTTGCCTCTAGACAGTGCCTTCTGAGAAAAATTTCAGATTTCTGCTTTAATTGCACTTAATTGGAGGCATGTGATGTCAGTTATCTAAAAAGATTTATGTTTTCTTCTTGGGGGGGGGGGGGGGGGTATGTTGGTATCGGTTTGCATATATGTTGATATGAAGCATCTCTATTATAACCTAATTCTCAAAGAGGCTGTTGCCCAGTGCTTTATCAGGATGAAGGATTGGATCAAAGAAAAGATTTGACACAATCAGCTGGTTTTCTCATAAAAACTACTGCTGTTTAGAATTTTATAATCAAATGGACAAGTCGGAATTTTATTATAACAATTGTAAATCAATTTTAACTTAACTGGTTTACATGTCATCTGATAAGAGCTGAGCCTGCCCTGAAACTTTAATAATGAATTTGTACAATTTAAATAAATTGCTACATCTACAATGTTAAACATTATTTTATTGTATTTTTATACAATGTCACAGCCTTTCTTCATCTACTTGATGAACTTTTTCATTGTCTGTTACTTTACTTCTTCATTAAAATCCACGCATCCATTCACAAACAATCCATCACAAAAACAATTAAAAACCTCCTTCTTCTGCATCACAAACATTTCCTTATGGATGACTGACTCCTGAAAAACATCCCTCTTC